CCCCCTATATTAAATAAAGCTCCCCGTCCCCCCCCCCCCCCCCGCCCAAACAATAAAAAAAATCCCCAGTGTTCGAGACCTCACCAATGTATAATTAGATCTTTTTTTTTTTGGCTCATTGAAAAAGGGCCGGAAAAATGAGAGGTCCCAAAGATCACCTTGATAAGTCTTTATTGCTGGGATCATGAGGTCTCTGACCAAGTCCGTTATACCTCTCAAAAATGAACTTAGTTAGTCTAGCATAACGGTCAACCACTGAATCCTAATATAAATTCCAAGACTTGAACCTCTAATATTAGGGTGAGAAGTTCGGTCGAATTTGAATAATTTATCTAATGTTACAGTTAGGAAATTGAATTCTCAATTTATAAAAGCATAACAATAGTCAAGATTGATCTAACCTTTATATACTTTGTTCAAATGATACAACGTTCATCTCGAATTTTTTTTTTCTTCCCAAAAAATCAATTTCTTTGCATGTCTCTAATGTCAGACAACTCAATCAATACACTCTCTAATGTCAAACAATCTCATATATCCACATATATCTCTCTTCTTTTTAATGTTAAATTACATAATTAAAAAAATTAAATTATTGTTTAAAATATAAATATTTCAAGATCAGTTCGAATTTTTATATTATATAGTATCTTTAGGCAAGAGATTATTATTGTTACATAAAAATACTACAAAATCAGGTTCATAGTTTACAGTTGAACTTGTGATGTGTAGAGCCAAGTTTGGAATTGGTCTATCTATTAGATGGATCTGACAAGCTCATGACACTCACCNCAGTTTACTGTTGAACTTGTGATGTGTAGAGCCAAGTTTGGAATTGGTCTATCTATTAGATGGACCTGACAAGCTCATGACACTCACCTTTGAGTTCAAAATAAACCTAACTATTCAAGGAATCTAACAATTAACATGGTCATGACTCATGACCTCAACCCTATTACCTTAACCTGTCATGACATCAATTTTACATTAAAGGGCTTTTTACATTTTATACCTTACAAGATTTAAAGTTTTTTATTTTATATCAAAAATTAAATTTTTATTTAATACTCTTAATATATTAAAGATATTATAATGCGACCCTTCTATTAGCTTACGTTATTTTTTTCGTCAAAAATCAAATCATTGATACTGACAAAAAAATTAACAAAAAACTAAGAGAAGATTCACATTACACTATTTTTGATACATTAAATGTACAATATAAAATTAAAAAATTTAAAATCTTTCAGGGTATAAAGTAAAAATTGTCATATATTAAATGAACAAGTCCAATGAAGAATTGTCGATCTTAGTCTTAAATCTCTCATTTTTGCCGAAGTATCAAAGAGAATATAAACCAACATTGAGGAATATCCGGTAGTAACTGCTCATTGGTTTGTCCAAATTTCACTATCTACACCAACGCTTAGGCTTATCCGAACATAAATTAAGCAACTTTAAGTTTGGCCTCAACTTGACAAACTGTACAAAGTTGATGTGGGGAATGTAGAAGGTTAACTTAAGAGTGGTTTAAGTGGTAATAGAGACGAATTATGAATTTAAACGTTTTGATTTTAAATCTTGATAATTTTTTTGGGTCATGCCATTAGAGATTTATTTCTCATAAATACCATAATTTCAGCGTAAATGGTTTATCTTTGATCAGATTAGGGAGGGGATTAATCGAGATGTGTATAAGTTGACTCAAATTTCCTTAACCGTTCAACCAAAAAATAAAAAGAATGTATAAGGTTAGTTAATCACGGTCAATAGTTTCATAACATTGCCTACTTTTTTTTTTTTTTGGCCAAATAAAAAAAAAGGTGGGGCATAGGAGAGTGCCTAGAGACCACTCCCAATAAACTCTCATTGGTGGGATCATGAAATTCCTGACCGCGCCCGTTACTTATTTCAGAAATAAACCTAATTAAATTAGTATAGTGATTAACCATCGAACCCCAATATAAATTTCAAGATTTGAACATTTAACCTCAAGACGAGAAATTCGATAGGTACACTAGTGGACCACCCCACTCGGTGGTCATCGCCTACTTGTTGATCAATGACTCGATTTAATATATCCAAATTTTTTTTTATGTTTTTTTTATTTTGTAATAAATGAATCTCTATGTTATCATATAATTTCAAAGTTAATTTTAGTGATGTAGATCAAGTAACATTTTAATTTATAAAAGAATTTATATCTAATAGATGTAATTAAGCAAAAATGAGATTCTAATTTTTTTTAAATTACTTATTAACGAGTTATATTCGTCAATATGAACATGATATAATAAAATGAGTAAAAATTGGTGCTTCAATTTCGTATTAAGTTTTAATTTGATTTTTGAACTTTTAATTATTTTAATTTAATTCATCAACTATCAATTTTATCTCAATTAAGTCATTTCATTTATTTTTACCGTTGAATCAACGTTAAAATTGATCAAACTAGTCTCCAGGTGATCTAACAATTAATATTAATAGAACAACATAATTAAGAAAAAATTAATAGTTGGAAGACTAAATTGAGATAATTAAAAAGTCAAAAATAAAATTTAAAACTGAAAACAAACTTCAACCTTTATAAAAATAACACAGTTAGAATATAATTTGAATAGGGTCCTANTTTATCTCAATTAAGTCATTTCATTTATTTTTACCGTTGAATCAACGTTAAAATTGATCAAACTAGTCTCCAGGTGATCTAACAATTAATATTAATAGAACAATATAATTAAGACGAAATTAATAGTTGGAAGACTAAATTGAGATAATTAAAAAGTCAAAAATAAAATTTAAAACTGAAAACAAACTTCAACCTTTATAAAAATAACACAGTTAGAATATAATTTGAATAGGGTCCTATGGAGGTTTAGATATGACCCAACCAACCGGACCCGACCCGACGGATATTGTTATTATTATTTTTAATGTTTAAAATTCAAAATTTTGAACCGAAGGCGTGTAGCTTAGATTATGAAATGGGGACATGTCTAAGCATTAAATGTCCGGCCGGTAGCATTGCTCTTTTCTATAAGCACGCACATATATATATATATAGCTCAACGGAAAAAATAAAAATATATGGAATGTAGGGGGGAGAGAGAGTGAGAGAGACAGATAGAGAGAGAGAAAAGGAAGGTGGTTATAGAGAGAGAGAGTCGATAAGTTTCGGGGGTNGTATATATATTATATATATATAGCTCAACGGAAAAAATAAAAATATATGGAATGTAGGGGGGAGAGAGAGTGAGAGAGACAGAGAGAGAGAGAAAAGGAAGGTGGTTATAGAGAGAGAGAGTCGATAAGTTTCGGGGGTGGAGGAATGCTGGAGATTCGGTACGTTATTGGACATCTTTGAGGGGTCACCAGCCTCCTGGTCTGCTCTTTCAGACATTGATCTGAAGGTAATACACATTCCCGAAGCATTATTACCAATATATTTATTTGTACATGTTCTCGACATTCATATGTTTATTCAAACATTCTTTATCATATTTTATACCAAATGGGTTCTATATTGAGATTATAGACTCCCATTTGCTTGAATTTTGATTTTATTTTGTTGTTTTGATCTGGGCCATTGGTGAAGTGACCTTAAATTGTTGATTTGTAGGCTGGTACTGGAATTCAAAAAGTACCCATTTGTTCTTAGAGCCTTTCTTTCCCTTCTCATGTTGAGCTTTTGATAATTTGATAAGAAGGGAAAGAAAGCACATAAATTGTTGAAGAAAATTGGGAATTGGTGTTATCTTGTACACAATCGATTTTCGAAAATGAGCGTGGTTTCGGGTGTGATTTCAAGGCAAGTTTTGCCAGCATGTGGCAGCCTTTGTTTCTTCTGCCCGAATATGCGGGCGAGGTCTAGGCAGCCTGTGAAGAGGTATAAGAAGCTGATTTCGGACATTTTTCCAAAATCTCAGGTCAGTGTGTGGATAATATCATGCGTTAATTGCTTTTCCATTCTTATGAAAGCTCATTTACATTGATTTCTGTAGTCAATCCTGACGGGTTGATCCATCGATTTCCCTTCCTTTTGCTGCATTCCGCTCAAAGGGTTGAAAGGAGATAGTGCATTCCTTAATACGTATCATCCAATTGATCCTTGCATTTAAGGCGTAGGATGTGCGCCAGATTGATTTTATTATACACCAAGTCCTGCATTGAATTTTGAACTGGATTGGAAATTCTCTTTTGAAAACATTGCAAGGAATTTTGAATTGACTACAGCCAAATTTTTTCATCATTTCTTCATTTTTCACTTTGTTAATGGGAGGCCAGGCCACTAAGATTTGGATAATTGTCAAGTTGTCTAACTTCACAAATATTGTGTTTGTTTATTAGTTTATGCTATATCTCAATTGACAAAAGCTCTAGCATGCTTCCATTTTCTCTGGTTTACGAGAGACTGTAACTTCTTGTCCAAGAAGCTTGTAATCCAGAGCAACTGTCTATAGCTGATTTCGATATCCATGCCTCTGAGTGACATTCTCTGTGGTTACTATACTCAGTGGGACTGATGCAGGTTTATAATACTGTATTTTAATTAAAGTTGGCCCAAATACTTTCCTTTTTAGTTTTACTTTGTTTATTCACTTTTACCCCTAGTACTAACATCCTTGGGACTCCTTTAAGAGCTTTCTATGCTTCTGTATCCAGATTTTCCCAGAGGAGATATGGATATGGAAGAGAAGAGGAAAGTAAGACCTGAAAAGGAGCCCTGAAAGCTTTTGCCTTCTTATACGATGCTTTCAAAGTTAATTTTTATAGAAAATTAGTTTTTCCGTTAAATCCATGTAGACTTTAACTGAACAAATTCATTTCAGGATTAGTTGGGGCAGTATTCTGCCTTTATCTGTGACTATAAATTTGTTAGATTGTAACAGAGAAGAAATCAGAAGAGAATGAATTCTTTAAGATGTCCTTCACCATATCTTCCAAAGGCTACTTTTCAGCTTTATTAATGACAGAAATTAGCAAAAAACAGCCAAAGAGTATTTCCATTTGCATGAGGCTTAAATAGTATTTTCAATGGCATGAGGCATGACTTTACTTATTCCATGGTTAGCCCCATTAAATTTAAAATACTTTGGAATTCAATTTGATCAAGATGTCAGCAGCTAATCAATGTTTCTCTAATGTCATGCCTCAAACCTAAGCAATAAAAATTTTGTATGTCAACTGCATTATGTTATAGTAATTTGATTTATGGCCCATGACCATGTGACACAATTTGTCTCCATTAGATATGCCTTCAAAGCTGAAGTATTTGGTGACTGATCACCTAGAATGGGCTTGTTTTTTTTGGAACTGATTGTGATCTCCATTCAACTCAACTCAACTCAATTAAGCCTTGTCCTATTATTTTGGAATAGGTTATATGAATCATTTTCCACCATTGTCCTCCATCACGTGCCATATTTTTTGTTGAAAGAGATTGCAATCTGGCAACAGAAAATTTTACTTGTTGTACGTCTTTTGAACATCTTAGTGTAGTTGAACATTGTTTGCCAATTCTGAACATTATGCTGGACAGTTAATTTCAGAAAAATTGTGCTGGATAGTTGTATTCAGTATTCACTAATTAATCCTCATATCTTAACTTTTTTTTTTTGCAATATACACATTCTCTAAAATGGAAATAAATATTCACTACATGCATTTGGGGACTTTTGCAAGGTTTCCATAACTTTTCCTTCGATATAACAGTTGTAGATGTGTATGCTGCTAATAACTTTTCTGGATAGGTATCACCTAGTTCTGACAAAATATTTGAATATTGTTGCTAATTTTCTGTACTATTTCAGAAATTAGTTCTCTTATTTTGCTGTTAAATCAAGTGACTCAAACAATTCTTAAACATTTTGCGTAAGTGTTATTTTAATTCATTAAGCTTGCATTAACTCTTTGAAATAAGAAGGTTGAAATAAGCGGTCAACTTCTAGCTTCATTGTAAGTGGTCGATATTAGATTAGTGAACATACAGTATTTCAGTACACTACACAAGGCTTCCTTGGTTTGGTTTCATGAAACAAATATGTGCGTGAAAATTAGAGTACTTGTCATACGGTTATATTCGGTTATATCTTTTTATCACTTGTTAACATTTCATATATCGTATATCATCACAATAGAGATCAATTTATTAATAGTAACATTACTTTTTGTTTCTTTATATTTTACAGGAAGAAGAACCAAATGACCGAAAAATAGGAAAATTGTGTGAATATGCTGCCAAAAATCCTTTGCGCATCCCTAAGGTACCCCTGTTATGTGTAGCATGTTGATGTGCTGGGATTGTTTTAATCAAGAATTGTAGCCATTTGCTATGCTAAACCTCATGTTACATGCAATGCAAGTATCCACATCTAGCTGTTGAGTCAAATTGGCATATATGTTGGCTAAAATGTAACTGACCCAACCTCACCCTCCCTTTTTGCATTGGACCATGATCACCAAACTTGTTCAACTTTGTACTCTGTTTATGGAGCTTAACTCTGGACCTGTACCTTTGAAACAATGCCTTCACCTTGTAAGTAAAAGTCAAATAGAGCACTATAATTTCTAACTTTAATCTTATTCTCAACACCATCACCATCACCACCACCAAGATTTCTACAATAAGAGCCAAACAAAAATGTTGAGATATGTATGGTCATTTCTGTTCCTTGAAACTCTGCACATAGAAAAGTTGAATAACACAATACAACCAAAAACAAAGAGTTTGATACAATTGTGAGAAATATGCAACAGTTTTAAGATTCCAATTGGAAGGCCATACATTAATGTTTTCCAGAATTTGAGAAAACAGGGGTGCCCATTAAGAATCCAATTTTGGAAACAGAGTTGTAAATGTGCAATCAAAAGTGAAATCTTACCTTTTCTAGAAGGTCCCAAGGATGCTCATCCTTTGGGATTACCCCATCTTCATGGTACAGAAAAACATCAATCTTTTTGAAGTTTCTCAGAGTCCCACAGTTGGTTTGAGGGAAAAAAACTTGTCACGATACAGTGGGTGATGTTGAGTACTTCTAATTAGTAGTATGCAAGAATGAAAACCTTTGAGGACACTAAAGATGTGTTGGGTTCCGAATCGAGAGGAAGTGTGTATGTCTATTTCTACAGAACACCGAGGTGTAGATTGCTATAATGAACATGATTATAGTTTTGTTACTCTCAATTAGCATAAGAATTCATATATTCCTTGTGTTTCGTGGCAGTTGATTCGTACCATAAAAATATAGTGATAATTGTTGAAAACTACAAATTCCTGTACCTAATTTGTCAATAAGTCCAGCCATGTACTTTTTAAGGCGTGAGGTTCAACTCAGCTAAACTTTTAAGGCGAGAGGCCCAAACTAATTTTTCTCTTTTATTAATATGACAATATTATTCCCCGTGTCTTATATGTTGCCCAACCATCCAACACAACTTTACAGTCTCTCTTGTCGAGAAGATTCAATTTGAGTCCAAAGGCTCTAAATCCTAACCATCGCCATCGCCAGTCTCTCTCTCCCAAATTTTTCTCTTCTTTCTCTCCCCCAAATTATTCTGTCAATTTGGCATCTAGTTCTGTGAGGTCGGATACAAAGTTCTCTTGCACTGTTGACCCGAGATCCAGATCGACAAGATCACTAGAGAGATCGGATCGGATCGGATCAGATCTACATCAAAAAGTCTCATTGGCTATGGGCTGTCTGCTAATTTTGTCGGCATGTTTTCATATCAACGTCACAATTTCGACGTTGGGTTTCACAATTTCAAGGGCTTTGACCGAGATCCAATAAGAGTATTTGTGACACCCCAAAGTCCGGGTGTCTGTAATTATCCGATTGGTTATCCATCGACCTGTGTAATACTGGTGGATATCGTGTAATTTGATACCACACCGTTATGCCCCATTTCTTGGGATCCATAACTTAACAAAATTTGGACAGAGTCTCCTTTGTACAAGGAGCTCTACTCAAAACGCAACCTGTATAACATTGACCACACCGGGTCTATCTATCCATTCACAATTGTATAGTCTCGAATACTATCATAATCATTATCAGTACATACATTTATTCGTAAAAGAATAAATGTCCCAAAAGAGTCCCATATACATGCCTTTGTAAATATAAACAATGTTTGTTACAAAAATTATACAAGGCCAAAAGTAAGTATAAACAAGGGACTACAATGTCAAAATAAAAGCCACAGACCGGCTCTGTCGTCAAAGCGGGCCCATGGCCTCGCCTTCGGTGGAAGCCTGTGCGATACCTGAAAAATGTTCCCATAAAGGGTGAGCTAACGCTCAATAGGGTAACTCCTATAGAGAATACCTCTCAACCTAAATGAATATGGAATGTCACATGCAACAATCATTTGATACATTCATTTAAATATGTCTATTATGATTGAATGTTATAGATCATGTCATGCCATGAGATGAGACTCACGCAAGCAATACCAACCCCGAGCCCCATCCTGAGCTCCCATAACACATGCAATGTCATGCGTATGTATCCGAGCATTCCAAGCCCCCATCATTGGTGTTATGTACACTCAATGCTAATTAATTCATTTTCTTGTGTCTTTGTGGGGAGATGATTTATGGTATTACACCAATGGGACACCAACCATCAACGGATCTTCAGGACATCCCACCTGCGGCTCCGTTTCCGCCGTTACACTTTTTTGGAATTTCACCGCCGGAAAGTGTATAAACCAAGTAAGCGGGTCTTGCACCCGAGGGAGAATCTAGCCCTTCGTGCTGTCCCCAACACATTTATCCATTTAATTTCTCGTGCGACTCAACCGAACCTTGGTGCGACTTTTCCGAGTCCACGTTCAACCACCTACGTGGTGATTGATTTCATACCATGCATACACTCTCACCCATGTCAATGCCCATGAATGTAGTGCAACCCATGCATAATGAAATACAATGTAATGACATTTTAACACGATCTCAAGCATGTTATGTAAGATAATCAACTCAACTAACATACTTGTATTCACCTAGGCATTTAATCAAACACCTAAAGAGCACATCAATTTACACAACTAGCATGCTATGACTTGCAACATGACAACATGTTTAACATAAGCACAAGTCCACCAAAATAATCATATGTTAAATAATCATTTAACATATATATATTATTTCACAATCATATAACAAGTTAATAATTTTATTAAACTTGATCTTCCATTAAAATATAAAGTAATGCTAACATACAATTAACATGCTTTAAACTACTAACATTAACTTATACCAAGTTAATCACAATAGAATTTTATTAATCACAAGATTAATTATAAATTCTATATTTGACCCACTAGTCAAACTAGTCAAGACCTAACATGTGATATACACTCATAATCTACTCATTCCATATGTCATATTTTAAGTTGAAATTAAATCTAAATAGGGGAAACCCTACCTCTCGTAGCGTGAGACCACTTACAAGAACGCCAAGGAAGCCCAAATTTAGCTTCCTAAGTTTTAGGTCTAGATTATCGGCTTTGATATACCTTCGAAGAAAAATACGATCTTTGGTGTGGTTGCGTAGCTCTCGCTGAGTAGAGCAACTTTAGTTCTTGGCCCGAAACGATTAAACGGTTAAATTTTCCTAGATCTGAGAAGGAAGAAAAGAGAAAAAAAAAAAAAAACTCTCTTTTTTTCTCACTCTCTCTATCTCGCCGGCTGTAGAACACATAAAAAGTGGAAGACAAAGTCTTCCACTTATATATATATATTATTTTTTTTTAAATTTACGTTTTTGACCCATAATTTAACAATTAATTATTATTTTACCCTTTTATTTTTATTAGGATTAATAATATATATATTTTTTTTTTCGGGTTTTACATTCTCTCCCCCTTAAGGGAATTTCGTCCCCGAAATTATACCCACATGCATATATAACGACATGCATATGCAAAAAAAATCATTAAATACTCTATGACTGTAAGAGATGTACCTCCATTCTCGAACAAAAATGGATAGGTAGCTCGGATAGTGTCCTCACGTTCCCATGTCTCCTCCTCCATCCCACGGTGCTGCCACAACACCTTTACCAGCCTCACAGTCTTGCCCCGCAAAACCTGTTCTCGGCTGTCCATGATACGCACTGGTCCCTCCTCAAAGGTTCCATCTGCATCAACCACTAGCTCACCCCAATCCACCACGTGTGTAGGATCTGGAGTGTACTTTCGGAGCATAGAAACATGGAACACCGCGTGAACACCAGATAGACTAGGCGGTAATGCCAACTGATAGGCAACTGTACCAACCCTCTCAAGTATTTCGAAGGGCCCGATATACCTCGGCAACAGCTTTCCCCGCTTTCCGAACCTGACCACTCCCCTCTTAGGCATCACCTTTAAGAAGACATGATCTCCAACCTCGAACTCCAGAGGTCGTCGCCGTCTGTCAGCGTAACTCTTCTGCCGGCTCTGAGCCGTGATAAGACGTTTCCGTATCAAGTCCACCTTCTCTGAAGTGTCTCTAATCAAATTCGGACCCGTGGAGGGTCTCTCTCCAACCTCGGTCCAGCAAATCGGAGAACGACACGGCCTCCCATAAAGTGCCTCATAAGGTGCCATCTGTATACTCGCCTGATAACTGTTGTTGTAGGCGAACTCTACTAATGGTAAATGCTCCTCCCAGCCACCCTTGAAATCAAGGATGCATGCCCGTAGCATGTCTTCTAAGGTCTGGATAGTCCTCTCTGACTGACCGTCCGTCTGGGGATGAAAAGCGGTACTCATCATCAACTGTGTTCCCATGGCCTGCTGAAAACTCTCCCAAAAATGGGCCGTAAACCTAGGGTCCCGATCGGATACTATAGATACGGGCACCCCATGTAATCGAACTATCTCCCGTATGTACAGTCTACAAAAATCCTCCAGTGTGAAGGTCATTCGTACTGCCAAAAAGTGTGCCGACTTTGTAAGCCGATCCACTATCACCCATACTGCGTCATGCCCTCGCGATGTCCGTGGCAAGTGAGTCACAAAATCCATCGTGACGTGCTCCCACTTCCACTCAGCCACCTCCAAAGGTTGGAGCAACCCTGCTGGTCTCTGATGTTCAGCCTTGACCTGCTGACATGTGAGACATCGACTAACAAAATCTCCAACGTGTTTCTTCATCCCATTCCAATAGTATTGGCGGCGAAGATCATGGTACATCTTTGTACTACCTGGATGCACAGCAAAACGGGAGCAATGAAACTCCCTAAGGATCTCCTCTCTCAGATCTGCAGATTGGGGAACCACAACCCTTCCCCTGAACCGAAGACTACCATCCGCGTGAACGGCCCAGCCCTCGTCACCTGTACCCGACTGTACGCGATCCCTAATAGACAATATCTCTGTATCCTGGCCCTGGGACTCGATCACTCTGCTTAGTAGGGAAGGCGTAGCCGCTAGACTCCCCAAAGTGCCACGAGTCTGACCTCTATAGTGTAGCCTGAACTGTCCAACAGTCTCAAGCATCAGCCACTCCTGGGAAGCTATACTGGCCAAAACTCCCCGTGACTTTCGACTCAGTGCATCGGCCACCACATTTGCCTTACCGGGATGGTAATGCAAAGTGAAGTCATAGTCCTCTAGGTACTCCATCCACCTGCGCTGTCTCATATTGAGGTCCCGCTGCGTGAAAATGTACTTCAGACTTTTATGGTCCGAAAATATCTCAAACTGTTCTCCATATAGATAGTGGCGCCATGCCTTCAAGGCAAAGACAATAGCCGCTAACTCCAAGTCATGTGTGGGGTAGTTCTGCTCGTGGCTCTTCAACTGTCTAGAACCATAAGCTACCACCCTCCCAGACTGCATCAAAACACACCCAAGTCCATCTTTGGAGGCATCACAATACACTGTGTACCTCTGTCCCCTCTCCGGAACTATCAAAATCGGAGCTGAAGTAAGTCTCTTCTTTAACTCTTGAAATGCTCTCTCACACGATTCATCCCACTGGAACTTGACCTCTTTCCAGGTCAACTTGGTCATAGGTGCGGCTAGTTGA